GTTTTTAAAGGTGAAATGTAGAGGAAACATGAGAAGTAGTCAAACATGGCCAATTAAACATTTTTTTAAAGTAACACAAAGTTGCTTTTCAAGTAATTAATTACTTTTAGAATCTTGTAACTCACTTACTATATTACTTTTTTGAAGAACTAACTAGTAACTATAATTAATTACTTTTTCAAAGTAACTTGCCCAACACTGTGTAACACCCATTCTTTCTTCTTTAGGCTGACTTCCAAGATTTCAGTGATCACTTTCGGTCTGAACCATTTAATGGAGCGGCTGTGCCTCAAGAGCTAGAGCAGGTCATTTACCTGTTGTAAGGCTGGTGGTTTGATCCCCGGCTGCTCCGCTCTGCATGCCAAACTATCCTGGAGAAAGATACTGAACCTTGAGTTGTTGTGTGTGGTCAGTGCTAGCTAGATGTTTGACCTTTAATTGTGCTAATTAAATTGGAAATGGACTGGTTGATTTCCAGTTTACCATGGTCAGTTGCCTCCCTGTATTAGTAAATTACTACATTCATATGCAAATACGAGATCTTTGAGGTCAGCTGATCAGTGCTTGCTGGTGGTATCTGGTCCAGGTTAAAGATAAAAGACGAGCCTAATTTTCTACTCTTCATTTATCCCAAGAGAAGATATTATGGCCACTGCAAGCAAGCAAATTTAGCTCTCTGCTGCAAAGACACAAAAGAAAAAAGTCATGGGAGTCTCTATCCCTCCTTACAGTGACAATTTTAAACTTGAAGTTGTCTACGATACAGTAAAATGTACCCCTGCCCAGTGTCATCCATGCCCCTTCTGCAAGAGGATGGAGTTTATATATATACTTTAAAATATTACTGAGCTGCATCCTGGTGAGTTATTACTGCAACTCAATATTTATAATATTTACATTAAAAAAGATCCAAATTTGAATTATTACATGTGATGTTGCACAGGTGTTGCATACTGTATGCCAGCTGGCAGCTGACTGGCAGCTACATTAAAGACCCATCTGTCTTTTTATAAACGGCTTTTTACTAAGAGATAAGTTGAAAGAAATAAAAACAAGTTCTGTCACAACTCTCAATACCCAGCTTGTCCACGCAGGGACGCAAGCTGAACGATTTGAATGTATATTTGACTGCCAAAGGGACACTCGTCAATATCCGAGAACAGAAAGTTTAAATATCACAAATTGCCCGAAATAAAATTCAACATATCATTCGTAACTTTAGTTTCACCTGGTTGAATAAAATATTTTAGTCAACCTTTGGAACATAATTTGCTTCTGAAAAATGACCTTCCTTTGGTCAGATGGAAAAATAAATAAAACAAAAACTCTCCTAACTTCCAATAATAAATTCAACAAGAACGGCGCACTTTTTCACCCTGAAACCTTTCCTGAGTGACAGGATCAGATGCACGCTTAATAACTCAGAGACTCAGTGTGTATTTGGACTCAAGCTCTCTATCTAAAAGGTCTTTCGACTAACTTATATTTCACTAAAACATACTTTACTAGATGAATACATACTTGTTCTTATTAAAAGCTATGAAAACCACACACACACAGAGTCCCTTTCTGCCATGTTACTCTTCAGCTCTTACAGCAAAAGCTCGTAATTTTCTCATTGAGATCACATGATGCACTGCCGATTTCGTTAACAAATGCGTTTGTTAACAGACCTGAATATTGGAGGTTGCTGTGTTTGTGTATGTGTGGGTTTATGCAGGGATGGGTGGGGAGTTTCACCTTGTGGGCATTTGTTGTGTGCGTGTGTGTCCCAGCTCCTTGGTTCCCAGCTGTTTTGCATGTCATCATCTTTACATCTTAACAAACAAATCTTAGACAAATTGTGTGCATTTGCATGCACCTTGTTTACAAGTCAAGTTTCTCGGAGATGAGATCATTTTGGAGGAGAAGGAGAGGCAGGTGCTCAGATTGGAGGCAAATCAGGCTGGACCTCAAGGAGGGAGGTTAACGAGCTCAGACTGCATGTATTACAATTGTTACTTCATGTCACATTATTCAGTTAATCTTTGCCCTTGATCTTTGACAAATCTTTGCCATCATCGTCTCTAGAATGAACTCTTGATAGTTCTCTATTTCTCAATATCATTCTTGATTAACTTTCCAATCAGTCAAATTTCTTTTACCATTTGAATTTGTTTTTAGTGAAATGGTACTGATTTCAAAGAGTATTTTTTTTTTTTAAATTAAAGGATAGTCGAGCTATAAAAACTGACGAATCACTTCACTGTCCCTGCAGAATGTTCTTCCTCAGACGCCACAGGTAGAAGCTACAGTAGATATAAACTGTGACAACTGACCCCATGAATGATTTTCAATTCAAATAATCTGTCAGATACAAAAAGGTTTGAAACACCTAAAGTGCAGTCACAAAAAATGTCATTCACGTTGCAGTCTGGGATGTCCAAGATGTCTTATGGTACGTGCCAGTTTAGCTTAGTGCATTGAGCAGGCAACCATATGGCTGAGAACGCCGGCCAAGGTTCAAGTCTGACCCATGGCCCTTTAGCCATTTGTCTTCCCCTCTCTTTCTCTCCCTCCCCCCACTTTCCTGTCATTTCTTCACTGTATCTGTCAATAAAGCTGAAAAAGACGTCTTTAACTGCTGATCTTGAGCT